TAAGCTCCCAAGCATCTTTAGGATAGCTCCTGAAGAGCAGCTCCTCTGATGCCAGTACCAATAAAGCAGATTTCTTTATTTCCTCTTGTGTGCCAGTGCTACTCTCCTACCTGCCTTGCTTATCATCCCTAACACATCATTACTTATCTTATCTCCCCTTCTGGACTGTGGACTTAATAGCAACGAACAGAGCCAGGGATTAATTAACCATGTAGTCCCATGTCTTAGTCTGTTTAGGCTGCCATAGCAAAATATCATAAAATGGGTAACTTATAAGAATAGAAATTTATTTCTTAGGATTCTGGAGAGGTGTATCATCAAGGTGTTGGTAGATGTGGTATCTGGTGAGGGCCTATTTCCTGATTCATAGATGGTGCCTGCATGCCATTAACTCTCTGAGATCTGTCTTACAAAGAAATTCCATTCATGAGGGGTCTGGCCTCCTGACCTAAGCACCTTTCAAATAACCCACTTCCTGATACCATCGCCTTGGGGTTTAGTATTTCAGCATATGAATTTTTAAAGTACATTCTCCAAGTAGATTTAGACCACAGCATGTCACTATTAATAGTGTGAAAATATGTTAGGTACCTACTGCTCATAACTTTTATGAATAAAAAAATAAGGCCCTAATAGATTGCTAGCCTGAATCCTAGCCCCCTTCATCTGATGATTCATTATATCTCTGAGGTCTAGTATATCATAAATTCTTTGTAAATGTTCCTGGGATAAGGAAATTACCTGAGCCAGCAATTTTCTTCTTCATTTCCAATCTTCTCTGTGATAAGTACTTTCACCAGTAAAAACTTCAACTTCCTGGCACAAGGCTTAACTCTGAGTTTCCCTAAATTCTCTTTACTCCTGCTGATTTCTGCCTACTTACTTGTTATTTTCATATTATAAACAGTACAGAGCAAATAGAAAATTTTCAGTGTTCAAGAATCAAAGAACAGACTTATTAACTGAATGGAGCCCTCAAAAGGGTTACTATTTAAAGTCAAATCAGGTTATAAGTTATGAAGATGAAACAAGATATTTGTGACAGCATTTTAAAAAGAAATAATGGCACAGTACAATTACAGGGTATAATTAATACTGATACATTATTATAATAATACAGTTTGAGGATAATAACAGCTGGAATTTACCCAGTTTAGTCTTCCCGAATGTTCCAAGAGAGCATCATTCTATCAGACATTTATTCAGGCTGAGATTATTAATATTTAGCAGAATTAGAAAAATCTAAGTAATGGTTAATAATAATTCAGAGGTCAATAAAAGTAGTACAATTGAAAGGTGTATTATATATAATCAAAATAACCAATAATTAGTTTAAATACAATTTTTCTTAAACTCAGCTTCATATATATATATACATAATTGAAATTATACCTGCCATTCATAGAACAATATATTAAGAAAAGTTCCCTTAATATGACTTGTTTTTCCTTTTGTTAAAGTTAATGGTTCTTGGGGGAAAAACAATGTTCAGGTCTAGGGATACAGCTCAGCAGCACAGCAAGTGCCTGGCATGTGCACAAGGTTCTGTGTTTGATTCCCGGTACCAAAAAAAGAAAAACAGAAAAAAGTGTGAGCTCTTTTTTTCTTCATGTTTAATGTATAAATTAATGTTAATTTGAATATTAAACACTGTCCATAATAAGTATTTTTCTTATTTATGGTATATTTACTTACTGTTGCAGTATTGTACAGATAATTTAAGTAAAAACACAAATAAGTTTATATTATCATTGTGTTTTTTTCTTCAAAGTTTTGAAGTCATGTTTGTTTGTTTGGTTTTGGTACTGGGGATTGAACTCATGACCTTATGCTTGCCAGGTAGGAGCTTATGACACTAAGCTAAATCCCGGTACCTTGAAGTCCTATTGAACGCTCATTTAAAAAATAAAAAAGACATGGAATAATTGTTTTCAAAAGAGGAAGAAGGAAAAGCAGAGTGAGTTTTCTTGAAAGTGCAAGGTGGTGTAATGGAAAAGCAGAAAGAAATTAGATTGGGAGTCAGGAAACAATTCTAGCATTATCATCTCTACTACTTAGTAACCCTTTTCTTGTAGTTAATTGTCAACACTAAATGTTTCCCAGAGTATACGTAATACATATGCATCCAGTGATAAGCATAGAAAGCTGTTTCTTGCCAGGGCCAGGTCAAGTTACAGTTCTTTTAAAAGAAAATAAAAATGAGACAGAGTTTCACTGTACAGTTCAGGCTGGCCTTGAACTCACTTTGTATCCCAGGCTGGCCTGAAATTCACAATGACCCTCCTGCCTTAGTCTCCCAAATGCTGGGGATTACAGGTCTGGGACGCCATACCCAGCCTAAAGGAAAATTTCTGAACCAATCATTTTACTGTGGTTTCACTTCCCTAGGAAGAGGCCCCAGAACAGTTTCTTTTTTGGTATTGCTGGGCAAAATTTTACTCTTTGCTACCAGTTTCCTCTGCCAAAGTCCATACCCTTAATTCCTCAGCAGGAGGCCTGTAAACTCAGAGTATCCCAGTATACCTTGAAACACTCAGTTTTTGGCTTTCCTATAAAGCAAAGTGTGATGTCTGAGGGAGGTTGCTATGACAATCTGCAAACAGTAGAGGTGATGGAACACCACAGGAGGTGGCTCTCTTCCCACTGGAGTTTGCACTAGTTTAGGCCTGCACATCTGGACCAGCCAGGAACCTGGGGACCCACCGGGGAGGTACAGTAGGATGAACCCACGTCCTCAAAATAACTTCAGAAACCGGGCTAGGATAGCCTTCCACCCTACCATCTGGGATTTGCCTGATTTTTTCCTCCTCTGTGTTGAAGTGACAAAACCTGTGGTATTTGGACAAAGGCCCTCAGTGTGCCCTGCTGGACAAGGTGCAGGGGTGCGTTGTGCAAGTGATTTTTTGGTCTACATGGGAAACAAAGCTTGTAAATGGCAGATTTCTACAAGCAGAGAGACATACTCCACGTGCCTCGCAAAGGCAAGAGAATCTCTAGGATGAAAAGAATTAGAGGTGTCACTCTTTTGCACTGAGAGCTGAAAGAAGGTGTGCCTCTCCCAGCGGCCAAGCAGGGGAAAGGCTCCGAGTTGTAAGGAAATGGGAGGTGTCTTTGATGTTTATTTTTGCCTAGCAACCCGCAGCCAACAGCTTCCCCAGCTGCAGTCCAACGCGCCTCTGCCTCCCCTTGTTTTAGCGACTGGAGAGCGGTCATTCAGTGTTAGTAAATCGGGGAGGGTGTGCGTGGCTGAGGTGGAGGTGGGAGGGCAGCCCCCTCTTCGGCCCAAGCTCCGGGTCACCTGGCTCAGCTGGAACTCCTCCACTGGGCTGGCTTCTCTGAGGTCACCCTCTCACAACTAAGTTACCTACATGATAAAATGGGCAGGGGAGCCGTTAATCACCGATACCGGGGAGGGTGGACAGTACTGCTGTGAACAGCCCTCAGTAGCTAAAATATGCATGTGTTTAGGGGCGCGCTTGGAAGGGGAGGGGTCTCTGCAGATATTTCTGCAGAAGGGAAGCAGTGGTAGGTCGCGCGGTAGGGCAAAAGAAGGCCGTTGCCAGGGCTGGAGAGGCCGTGAGGGAAAAGGTCGTTAGTGGGGGAGAGAGGGGCACAGGGCAGACGGACGGAAGGGGAGGTGGAGGGGTAGCAGACGCTGCAGAGTTTTCCGGGGCGCGGAGGGGGGCCCTGCGGAAGATTGGGTGGGGAAGGACTCCCGCGGACTGCTGGGTGGGGGTGGGGTGCAGGCGAGCGTGTGTGGCTGGGGCCAGGGGAGTCGGGGAGGGGCCTGCGGTGGGGGCGGGGCTGCCCTGCCGGGCCGGGCCGGGCCGCGCGCGGGCGCCCGCGTGTGAGTGTGCGCGGGGGCGCGCGCGGAGGCCGGGAGGAGGCTCCCGAGCCAGTCGGTGCTAGCGGCGCAGCCCGCTCCCCGCGCCCCTATGTGAGGGAATCGGGGAGGCCCGCGGCGCGCAGGGGAGGGCGAGGCATGTGCACGGGCCGGGGGGTGCTGCAGCCGCCCGAGGAAGAGGAGGACGGCGGCGGCGAGGAGGAGAGCGGGGGGCTCGCGGCGGCGGCGGCGGCGGGCCCGGGCCGAGGCGATGCAGCGGGCTGTGTGTGTCTGGCTGTAGCTGACGCGAGGCGGCGAGGAGGCGCCGGGGACCCGCCCGGGCGACCCGGAGGCGGCGGCGGCGAGAAGTAGCAGCAGGACCGGCGGCGGCGGCGGAGACGGAGACGGCAGCCCTGAAATGCATTTTCCTCTCCAGCGGCCATGTTAACCAGGAAACCTTCGGCCGCCGCTCCCGCCGCCTACCCGACCGGTAAGGAGGCCCGCGCCGCGCCGCTGGCGCCCTCGGCCCCGGGCCAGCCCTGTGGCGCGGGCGGCCGCCGCCTGCGGGACCTCGAACAAAGTCGCGGACGGCGCGCCCTCGCCTCGGCCCGCTGCGCTCGCGCATTGTTGCACGCAGGCCGGGCGGCTCCGAAGGGAGCCTGCGCCCCTCTTCCCGGCGGGCCACCCCGTCCCAGCCGCCGGCCGCCTGCAACGTGGGCCGCGCGGCCCGGCCCAGCCCGGCGTCCCTGCCGGGTCGCGAACTGGTGCGCTGGGGCCCGACTTAACTTTGCAGCTGCCGGAGCCCCGCCCGTGGGTGTGCGCAGGGGAGCCGAGCCCCGGCGCCCCCTTCTCGCTCCCCGGATGCCCGTTTCTGCTGTCCCCGGCGCGCTCTCCGCCTTCTGGGAGAGGGGGTTCACTGCCCGTGAGGGTGGAGGGGGGATCTGAGCTACTCTTTCCCCCTGACCATCTTTTGTCTCCTCCTGCGTGTGGCTCCCAGGCCGAGGAGGGGACAGCGCTGTTCGCCAGCTTCAGGCTTCCCCGGGGCTTGGTGCGGGGGCCCCTCGGAGCGGAGTGGGGACCGGCCCGCCCTCCCCCATCGCCCTGCCGCCTCTCCGGGCCAGCAACGCCGCCGCCGCAGCGCACACGGTGAGACCCAGCCCGTGGGCGGCCGGAGGGTGGGCGGCGGGCGGGCCCCAGACCGAACACCCGGGTTTGCGGGAGAGGGCGAAGTGGGGGCAGCTCCACGCCCCTGGCCAGTGGGCTGTGCTCGACGCCGCCCTCGGTCGCTAGGCGAGTCTAAAGCTGCAGCCACAAAGGGAGATTCGTGGCGTGGGCCCCTGACTTCCCCTCTGGAGCCCGCCCACCCTGAGCTTCGCTTCTTGGAACTTCCTCCTTGCTGCTTTCCTTCTGTCCTCTCTCTTCATCTTTTCTTCCAGAGCTCTCTTCCCTGACCCGGTAAACATCTTCCCCTCTCCCCCGTGAGTAATGGGTATTTATAGAAACAGATCTGTGGTAGGGGACAGCTAGGCCGCCCTGCCCGGAAAATCGATCCCCCAAAGAGCCTCTGAGGCCTGGCTCCAGCCTTCGGGGAGCACGGCCAATTGTCCCCCGCGTGTATAAGCATGTTTTATGAGTGCTACAGGTTTGAGCACAGCAGAAATTATAATTAACATTAACAGAAATAAGAGCCACTGTAGCAGTCAAAACAAAACAAGCCACCCTAGTAGGATTCTGTAGTCGGAGATTATTCAGAAGGAAAGGGGTAATAGCTTTGCTTTGTAGGTGGCAAGGAAGGGCACCTGACAGTTGCTGTCTTTCTCAGAGGGCCAGAAGGGAGGGGGAGCCCAGCAAGGGACTGGTGGCTGCAGAGATTGGTGAACTGGGTTCCACTTCGCCATGAGCATTTTCTCAGCAGACAGGGATCACCCTAGGATGGTGACTGCCAGCCTGGAAGAAGCGTGGACTCCAAGCAGGTGATGGTTTTAGAAGTCTTTTCCCATTTGGGTCTTTCCGGAGAATTCCCTAAGATAGGTCGGTGTGAGCGAAGCTTCTTAGGGATTTGGTTTTTTGTTTGCCAAGTGGAAGCTGAGTACTTGAAGAAAAGGCTATTTGTAGCATACAGGGGAACAGCCCCCGGTCATGTTTTGTGGGGAAGCTTGTTTTATCGGAGAATGAATTTGTGAGAGGGCGGCCAGACAGTAGTTGTGCCTGCTCAGACCTAGGAGAGATGTATACAAGTTTCATAGCAAAACATTTTGTTGTTGTTTAGTACTGTTTTTTTTCTTGAATGCATCACACAGAAATTACTTGGACAGTTAGTGGAAAGGAGAGAGCCTTAGGTAGGACAGATGATATTGAATGTTCTTGTCACAGTGATGTTTTTAGTTAAAGAACTGCCTTTGGTTTTAGGCATTTGGGCTTTTTCTGTTTTTTTTCTTTTTTTTTTTCTTTCGGGTTTAGAATCATCTGACAGTTTGGAAAATATCACATCGAATTTTTTTCCATGTGTTGATGTAATCTGGGGCATGATGTGAACTGGGGAAAAATACTTGGTTTGCATCTGGATTCCAGTTTTTGTAAAGATGGGCTTTGCTGATCAGAGGCTCCTTGCAGTTGAAATCTGTAATGAGATTAGAGAAAATAAAGAATCTTCACCGGAGCAAATGCCTGTGGTGAATTAGAAAACCAAACGATATGATTGTGCTTCTCAGTATTCCAGCTGATGGATACATGTGTTTCATTGTGGCATATGCCTGCTTTACCTGGTTTTAGCTTATAAACTTTTTGATCTGTTGTTAATTATTAGATGCTTGGTTTTAGAAGTGTGAATTTGGTTTTGACTTATTTACATTAGACTTTTATTTGTAGAACATGACAGATTTCATAGCACAGGAAGTTTGAAGAACCACAGAATTTTATGTGGTTCTACTCCTTTATTTTTAGATGAGGTTGCAGACTGCAAGTTAATGGTTGGTCCAGAGCCTTAGCCCACTTCTATCAGGATGCATCATATAGTCTCATTCCCTGTTTTTAGTCTGCTGTCCAGCACTATTCATTCTAGGAAGTTGTAGTAACTTTATTAGAAATGCAAGAACCTTTGCAAATTCATGTTGCTTTATGTCAGTAACGTTTTTATTAAGTTCCTAGATTTTTAATTCCAGAGCAGTTACATCTGGGAAGAATTATTTAGGATAAGTGAGTGTAAAAGGGTATTCAAGAGACAAAAATGATCTTAGAGGAGCTTGTCATATTTTTCTGTGTAAATTGTAGAGGAGGCAGATAAATACATGATTATAAAGACTTTGATATTTCCCATTGCCCTTTGTTTTCTGTCTGTATCATTATTTTGCACTTTAAACAATTAGTTTATTTTTATTTGTCTTCAAAGTAGACCTAGCAACTATCTTGATTCTGATTCTTTGTGATATGAGATATATTAATTTTTTAATTCCAAAATACTGATATTTATCACTTTCGTAACTTTTAATGTTTAACACACTGTCTTGTGTGCAGGTTTATCTTTATAAAATGAAATTAAAGAAATAAATCAGTATTTAAAACATAGTAATTTTTGAAAAACAAAATGGAGACATTGACTCAGGCAGGGTTACATAGACTCTCACAGTGTTTAAAAAAGTTTCAGTCTTTTGGGGCTCAGTTTTATTCTCACAACACTGAACATCATTTCTAAGGTGAGTTCTGAAAAGTCTTTAAATGCCCAGAAATACTGGCACAATCAAAAATCTGTTTGCCATTTTTATTGGAAGATAGTAAAACTACCAAACTTTTAGACTATTATTATAAAATCTTAATACTAAATTATTTCCCAGTTCTTATAGGTCTCATCATTTTAACCCTGGAGTTGTGAGTTGTATTTTAATCCTTGCTTTCATTCTGAGTATATTTTTAAATGTAACACCCACTGTGCTAGACATTAGCAAATACAAATAAGCTACAATCTCTTAGACTCCAAGAGACTTGAGTGGGAGTGAGAAGTTTTTAATATTCGAAAGATTCTGATACAGTCCTAGCTTGCTTAGTATGGAAATGGTTTGGCTTTTCTAGTCCTGCCCACTCCCTGCCTTTCAGAGCACTACAGTGTTTGAGACTCAAATTCCTCTTTTACTGTTGCTCTCAAGTGAGTATCTTTTATCTCTGGAAGTTTTAGGATTTTACCTGTGGCATTTAGGTGTGTAGCTGATGTGTCTGCCCTAGGTACTTTTTTTTTTTTTCCCTAGGTAGTTTTTAACCAGCTGTCCTTTGCCTCCTAATCTCTGCCAGTGCAGTACTGGCTAATGTCTTGTGACTTAGGTCACCAGGGATGTTTCCCAACTCCCTGAGTGTTGACTTCATGTTTTCCTTTGAAGGTACAAAATATATTTCTCAAGACTCTAAGAGAGGTGAGAGTTAACAGCGGTTTATTGACATGTGTTCTATTCAGCAGAAACTCGTTAAACACTTACTATATGCCTGAGTTTGTGTTAATAGGGAGTTACAAAGATAAAAGGTGACACTCACTTTAGAATAGCTCACAACCAGGTGGGTGCTTCAAAACATTTCCAGTAAAATGAAATAGGAGTAATTTATAATATAGCAGTACAATTGTAAGTACCAATGGATCTGTTAGATCAGAGATGAGAGTTGAACAAGGCTTTGAAGGTTGAGTAGGAGTTTATCACTAGGCAGTGAAGGAGGAGATTTGTAAGCAGGATCTGAAAAAGACAGTAATAATAGTTTTCACTTGTTAAGTAACTATACTGTGCACTTTGCATATATCACCTTTTAATCCTAAAGGCCCTAATGAGGTAGCTTTCTTACTTTCTTTTTGTAGGGAAGGACAGAGAGTTTGAGAGAGATTTAATTGCTCATATCCCACAATTAATAAGTGGTAAGAGCTGGATTCATTTCATGGTTTCATGTGTGTCTAAACTAAAAATCCCTAGGTTCCTATGAAACATGACCTCACCAAAAGCAGTGTTAAAGAGTGGACTGATGATACGAATCTTGGGGAATTCAACGCAGTTCTTCCTGAAGAAAAGGGTAACAGTGGTAGATCAAAACTAGAAAGGGCTCAAGATTATTTAAGCTCTACATTTTAGAACCTTGTGTTTTTACTGGTAAGTTCTTGCATGAACCATGGAAATGGGGTGCAGCAGTAGGCTCCAACCAAAGCATGAACATTCTCAGGTTGACATTTTAAAGCAGTAACTCTGCAAACACCCTGAGAAAAGATTTGAGCATTCTAGGCAGAGAAGCAAGGAGGCACATTATGAGGCCCTGTCAACTGTCCCAGGGAAGACAACAGGAGTGTGAGGGGAGGGAGTGTTGGTAGGAAGGGGATGCTTAAACAGGAGGAACCTCATGATGGTACAGGAATGGGATAGAGATGCTCAGAAGGATTTCCAGGTGTGCAGTGCTGAAGATCCTTAGGGTTGCAACTCAAGACACTATATGGGGGTGCCTGCGGATTACAAGGAGAGAAAAATGTTGTGGTAGAAAAATCTCGAGTTGAATCTGAGTTGCCTGTACAAGAGGAAGCTTATCAGGGATACATGAATTCCATGGGTCTAAGCTAGAAGAGTTAGGGTAACCATCAGCCCCTGGGGAGTGCCAATCAGCCCGGAAAAGTGGAAATGAAGCCAAAAGAATTGAGGTTTGGAGAGTGTTTGAACCTCACCTAAGGCAGATGTATTAATTGTTAAGGCTGTAAAAAAAGACCAAGAGATAGTAGTTGAAGAGATGGCAGGTGGTCCAGTTTTTTGGCAAACTCTAGTGGTAGTCGCTAAATCATTTGTGATTATTATACTATGAAAAATACAAAAATTGCTATAGCAAAAACTAGATGAATTTCTGATGCTCAAAAAATTTTCCTTTGTTACCATTTTAGGATCCTTAACCTCAAAGTTAATTCTGTCCTTAATGAAGCTTGATGCTTTTTAATGCACGTGTATAAAAGATGTAAGTCGTCTGAAATATCTCCATCTTTCTCTGAAGAGATTGGGCCTGTAAGAGAAAGATACTTTGAATTTCAGGCTCTGTTACAAGGTTGGTGTTAGAAAGGCTACAGGGAAGAGGTAAAACTGCAGAGAATGAGTTGAGGAAAGAGAAGACAAGTCTGTGCTGCTTTTATATACAGTGTATCCAAGACTTTTCTGACTCATTTATGGCCTGCCCTGCTTTGGCATGGAATGAAGATAAAGTAAGCTGTCCAAGCACTCTGGTAATATAAGGTCATTTAGTGTGGTGTATGATCTCTTGAGTTTCAAAAGAACTCAATTATAAGCCTTCTGAAAATCCAAGAAATGAAATTCTTGAACCTTTGAAGTGAAAGACAGGCCTAAAGGCTGTCTTCTACTTTGTTTTACAAGTAAACGGGGTACCCTCACTCTGAAGATGGGCACAATACATGTTACATGTCAAAAATGCGAAGGTCTTGGTCTGCTGATAAGAATTTGATATTTAATTTTATTATCTGCAGGTTCTCAAACTATTTCTCAAATCACTATGTTTACAGAGGAGATAGTAGGATGGAAAGTAGGATTTAATAGGAGATAACTGAAAAAATACTAATAACAAAGGACTTCAGCTAGTTTATTGTAAGCTTCCAGAGAGCAGGAACAGTACCACTGTTGTGACTAGGGCCCTGCTGACACTAGCTGTATGGGTAAAATGGAGTGTGACTGTTAAGGTAGTTTTGAGATTTTATGTAAAAATCACCTTGCAGGCTGCCGGAAGGAATTCCCAAATAGATTCCCAGTAGAAGGCTGGAGCCTCTTGTTTTTAACTTGTCAGCTTTGTTTAGACAGGGTTGTTCAGTTGATGGTATGTGTGCCTGAAATAGAAATTGGTACTTTGTATTCCTTGTTGGAAAGCTGTATATCCCAGCAGCCCATAGAAATACATGCCTTAGGAGTGCGGAGCCATTGACCAGAGGAAGGCTCCAAAACTGTGGTCTGCTGGGCTGAATGGCCTTAAATGGTCACTAGTCAGGAAAGCCCAGAAACTTAAAAATAGGTTAGTGGCTTACAAGATAACTAACTAGAATGCATATCTTTGTGAGTATCTTTCAAGCCTAAAAGCACAGTTTTCTTTGTCACTGGATTATATATGTTTGTAGATTTAATCAAATTTTCAAGTAAAAAATAAACACTGGTAAATGTGTTTTTAAAATAGGTGTAAATATTGGAGAAAGAGTACAGAGGACAGATATGGGCTTTGTCCTCATGTTACAAAGAAAAACTGCTCTCTGAAGTGTGACGGGAGCTGTGATCCAGTGGTGTGAAGCCAGTGTAGACTGATGTTTTAATGCTTTCCTGTATCCCATTTCTTTGCTCCTTCCTTCATTCCTTCCCCAGTACTGGGGATTGAACCAGGACCTTCACACTGAGCTACATCCCAGCTGTTTCTTCATTGAGACAGAATCAGTTGCTAAATTGTCTGGACTGTATGAATTTGTAATCCTCCTTCCTCAGCATACCAGAGTGCTGGGATTATGGGCATGTGCCACCGCACCAGGCTCCTGTTTCATTTTTATATGAAGTGTGGATTGAGTAGAACACCTATGATGTGCAAGGCCCTAGTACTAAATGGTAAATATACGAAATGGTAAACAAGGAAGATTGGTCTACTCTTTCACAGAGAACTTTCTCTTAAAGATCTCAGATATCTGTAGCAAACTATTTGTTTGGTGAAGCATTTATGGGTTTCTTCCTTCCTGTGTTCCCTAGCCTTACCTAGGCCACTGTTCTTTTCTTCCTTTATTGCATCAGAGCCCCTCAGTATCATATGCATTCTCTCAAACAGTGTGTTCATAGGGTCCCTCCTTGGTGCACAGTTCTTCCCACTTAGTAAAATGATTCTGCCCATGGATTTAAACTCAACTGGATTTTGTAAAGATGGGGGATGTGGGATGAAGCCTGACTTACATCACATTTGAACAGGCAGAACTCTTCCATTCCGTTTATACCTCTTCTCTGAATTCCAGATTGGCGGCAGTAAGCACACAATGAATGATCACCTGCATGTCAGCAGCCACAGCCACGGACAGATCCAGGTTCAGCAGCTGTTTGAGGATAACAGCAACAAGCGGACAGTGCTCACAACACAACCAAATGGGCTTACAACAGTGGGCAAGCCAGGCTTACCAGTAGTGCCTGAGAGGCAGCTAGAGAGCATTCACAGACGCCAGGGGAGCTCTACCTCCCTTAAGTCTATAGAGGGCATGGGGAAAGTGAAAGCCACACCCATGACACCTGAACAAGCAATGAAGCAATACATGCAAAAACTAACAGCCTTTGAGCACCATGAAATTTTCAGCTACCCTGAAATATACTTCTTGGGTCCAAATGCAAAGAAGCGCCAGGGCATGACAGGTGGGCCCAACAATGGTGGTTATGATGATGATCAGGGATCTTATGTGCAGGTGCCCCATGATCATGTGGCTTACAGGTACGAGGTCCTCAAGGTCATTGGAAAGGGGAGTTTTGGACAGGTGGTCAAGGCCTATGATCACAAAGTCCACCAGCATGTGGCCCTGAAGATGGTACGGAATGAGAAGCGCTTCCACCGGCAAGCGGCAGAGGAAATCCGGATCCTGGAGCACTTGCGGAAGCAGGACAAGGATAACACCATGAACGTCATCCACATGCTGGAGAACTTTACCTTCCGCAACCACATCTGCATGACGTTTGAGCTTCTGAGCATGAACCTCTATGAGCTCATCAAGAAGAATAAATTCCAGGGCTTCAGCCTGCCATTGGTCCGCAAGTTTGCCCACTCAATTCTGCAGTGCTTGGATGCTTTGCACAAGAACAGAATAATTCACTGTGACCTTAAGCCCGAGAACATTTTGTTAAAGCAGCAGGGTAGAAGCAGTATTAAAGTGATTGATTTTGGTTCCAGTTGTTATGAGCATCAGCGTGTCTACACATACATCCAGTCTCGCTTTTACCGTGCTCCGGAAGTGATCCTTGGGGCCAGGTATGGCATGCCCATTGATATGTGGAGCCTGGGCTGCATCTTAGCAGAGCTCTTGACAGGTTACCCCCTCTTGCCCGGGGAGGATGAAGGGGACCAACTGGCCTGTATGATTGAGCTGTTGGGCATGCCTTCCCAGAAACTGCTGGATGCATCCAAACGAGCCAAAAATTTTGTGAGCTCCAAGGGTTACCCCCGTTACTGCACTGTCACTACTCTTTCAGATGGCTCTGTGGTCCTCAACGGAGGCCGTTCCCGGAGAGGGAAACTGAGGGGCCCACCAGAGAGCAGAGAGTGGGGGAATGCACTGAAGGGATGTGACGATCCCCTTTTCCTTGACTTCTTAAAACAGTGTTTAGAATGGGATCCTGCGATTCGCATGACCCCTGGCCAGGCTTTACGGCACCCTTGGCTGCGGAGGCGGTTGCCGAAGCCTCCCACTGGGGAGAAGACGTCCGTGAAAAGGATAACCGAGAGCACTGGTGCTATCACGTCGATTTCCAAGTTACCTCCACCTTCCAGCTCAGCTTCCAAACTGAGGACTAATTTGGCACAAATGACAGATGCCAATGGGAATATTCAGCAGAGGACAGTGTTGCCAAAACTTGTTAGCTGAGCTCGAGTCCCCTGATGCTGGTAATCTGAAAGATACGACATAGCTGAGCCTTACTGGGTTGAAAAGGAGTAGCTCAAACCTGTTTTTATTTGCTTAATAACTCATTTGTATCTTCTCAGCACTTAATTTTAATGTAAGAAAGTTTTTGTTTCATTTTTATAAAATATATGGGGACAGTGCTTTAAGTTTTTATACTTTCTGAAACTCTTTTTTTGTGTTCTAAAAGTACGATGAGCCTTACTGTATTTAGTGTGGCAGAGTAATAACATCAGTGGCAGGCCATTGATTACGTCATAACTGCCGCGCATTTACAGATTGGTCAAAGAAATTCACTACGTTTTTATGGTTCCTATAATATTCTCTCCAGGGTGATGGCCTCTTCCTCTCTCCACACTCCAGGTTCATGCACAGATGGGGCATGTCCTGCTTCCATTTTCTGTAAATTAATCTTGGCAGTTGTGCAGGTAGAAGAATGGTCACCATGAAAATGATATTCTAAGAAAAACTGCACCTTAGAGATGGTTTTTCCTCAAACAAATACAAAATAAGATCCCCAAGGTTTAAATTGCTCAGTTAGCATTCTGACATTCTAAAAACCGGCAAAGCAGCGTTTAGTGGATAAATAGAAACGGAAATGTATGCGTTTCTCCAGATTTTCTAACATGATCAGCAAACTGTTTTGCAAGAAGCCTCCTATTAGAAAATTGGGTTTGCACCTAATTTTAGAAATGTATTCCACGACTATTCCTCACTTCTGTTTGCTCTTCTCTCTGTTCCTCTTTTACCGCACATCTGTTGCCTGCATTTAGTTTGTCTTCTTCCTTTAATTGTATGTCCTAGACTGTCAGTACAGAGACATTTCAGCTGTGATTGTGACCATCGTTTCATATTCCAGTGTAAAAAAAGAACAGCAGCCTAGCTACTTAAGGTGGGGATTTCATAGTTCCAAAGAAGATTTAGCAGGTTAGAGTGAGTTCACATGTGTTAGGTGCCACTATAAGGTTCCCTTAGCCCGGGAAAATACCAATTCTTTCTTTAAAAAGAAAGAAGGTTGAAAGTCCTCTTCATGAACAGAAATCACTGTGGTCCTTCAAGAAGGCAATTTTAACATCACATTTAAAGGGGAGAACTTCAACCTCAAGTTAAATGGTTTGACTTATTCTTTGCATTTAGAAGAACTACAGAAATTGCATTCCTCTGTTTTATTTTACATGCTTTTGGATTGCACTGATTGTTTTTGTGGGAATGACACTTTACCTGGAAAACTAACTGAGAGTTAGGAAAAAGAATATTTTCTCTGAATAATAATTATTTTCACAGTGAAAATTCAGTATTTTATCACTAATGTATGAGCAGTGATATACGTATATCAATTTCAAGGCACGTGGAAAAATTTTTTAGTATGTGCAATTTAATATAGAAAGATTTCTGCCTGTTTGAACAATAGGTTTGGGGTAGTATAAATTAGGATAAATAATCTTTTATATGCACAGATAATATTGTATTGCCTGTAAATTGATTTACAAATACTTAAAGCGTGGTCCCCAGTGAGGCCAAGAAAGTTTCCGGTTAAGTTCTTTTCATATTAATCCTACAATTTCTCTTACTTAAAAAAAAAAAAAAATGTAGTTTTGAACAAAACATTTTACTTATCTTGAGGCTTTGCCGGTTGATGGTGGAAAAATATATGCTCAGGTAATATTTCAGATATTTGCCAAAAAACAGAAGATTAGCTTATTAGTAAGATAGTAATATTGGTATTTGCTTTACTATTTAAGGGTGTCACTGATAAATTAATTTGTACTTCTGTATTTAGAAATTATAGCTTATCTCCCCTAGTCAAAATCTTTAGCGTGTTCTACACGTTTCTGTGTAATCTGTGAAAGTGCAATAATCTTAGTAAGTGACATTTTAAATGATGCTCTTATAATGATACCCCAGTCAGTGGCTTATAGGGCTTAAAGATCTGTGTGTTTAGTAAGATTTTGGCTTAAAGGTGTAAGAAGTGGAAGGCTTGGTTTGGTGGCTTTCTACAACCACAAGCCTCTTAATATTCATTAAGGTTAGTTCTTTAACTCATAAAGATTATTTCCCCCTTCCCATTAATGTTTCTCTTTTATTTCCACTCTTATTTTCACATTTAAGTTCAAATATGTGAGCCTGAGCCTGCCATTATTTATTTCCCTGTAAAATGATTATACATGTGAAATTTTATAAATGAATTATTACTGCTTGTCTTCACCCACCACACAAAACTGGTTCTTATGATGCCAGCAGTGCATTTGTGACTATCTTTATGCACAGATGCAACCGGAAACTTTTAAGCCAAAATATAATGTGCAGTGCTATGGGACTTTCTTTTTGGTCCAGTACAGTGAGATTTCCTTTATTCACAAGAGCCACTATATTTCAGCATTTAGTGATAGAACTGCTTTTTAAAAATTCTTTGATTTTAATGTCAGAAACAAAAATGTTGCATCTTTGTGATTTTTAAAGGTAAATAAAGGGCTCTCCAATAAGCTACTAGGAATTGGCTTGGAAACAGTCCTTGGTCTCACAGGTTACCATTGTCTAGGGATGTCTGAGCTGTTTTCGGATTTAGGAATAGCACAGTGTTGTCTTGTCTTGGGTTGCAGTCTCATTTGGCTCCATTTCTTGCAGCACCTGAGTGTTCATTACCACTTAAGTGTATTGCTACAGCAGTGGAACAACAGAGTGATGCAAGACAGTGTAGATTAACAGTAGAGGAGAAATTGTGCCCTTAGTGTTAACAATGTGCCTTTTGTTCTGAATGCCATGTTGTAGGGCATGCATTTTTTGGCCTCTTTAACTCTTCAAATACTAGGCAGTGAGGATGGAACCCACCTCTGCAAAGATACATCTGTCTTAAATACCTAGTTACAGGCCTTAATACAAACCATAAGGCATGAATCACCAACAGGCGCTGAACAAGATAACCATCAGTTAGCTGCACAGGTAATTCCTATATTTAAGGGGTTAAAGGTGGTCTTTGTTGTATCTTAACATCAGACTGATTTTTTAAATGATATTTTTTGTTATGCTAACACTAGACAAAAATCAACTGTATTTGTAAAAATTTACCTCAAACCATTTAATTTTATAGTGTGATTAATCCCAGGGCATTTGGTATGAACCAAAGTGCATTCCTTTTCTATGTGCCTGGCTGTAGTAAGGATGGCCAGGGATTTTTACAATTTGGGTGCAAGGCACTTAAGCCACTTTTAAACTTGATGGGTGGTTTGGAGTCGTGTTAAATGACTCCATCAGAATGTTAGAAAACACTTTAGGCATCAGTAGCATTGGGCCATATTGGAATCTTAAAAGTGTGAATTATTTTAAAGAGAGCATTCATTTTTGTAATTTTTTTCATCAAGAATATTTCTGGTAAGCAGAAGACTTTTTAACTGATTTGGTTGGTAAAGGTTTTAATATTGCCCAACATAATGCTGTGGTAGCATTTAAAAAAGTATTTGTGAACTCTTGTTTCTTAGGGGCTTGTACATCTCTCCGCTATGGACATATATAAAATTAATTGTAATTATACTCAGCTCAACTGCTACAGTTATGTCTAGGCAGTGGCTTGGGTTTTTATCGAGCAACAACTTAGACATGTGACTGTAATATGCTGCAACTGTGTGTACTGAAAATATGTGAAAATGGTTGAATGTGGACTGTGTATATATGTATGTAAAAATTTCTGTGAGATGCTGCTGTCGCCACTTAACATGGAAAATGTTCTAGTGGATTTTAATCCTAGTGGCCAGTTCTATGATACTGTATGTATTGTACAGCTGATGACAGGAGTAAGACTGTTTAGTGAATATTTGTTAAATTTTATTGTTGTGGCCAGAGATAATTTCAGAATAAAATATTAATGTCCTACCTTACTTTTCTCCCCTTTTCTAACTAATTTAACTTACTACTCTTGGTCTGTTATCCTGGAGAGATTTTAGAATTACATAGTTCTGCATCAGTGGATTGAGATGTAAACGTAGTTCATTCCACTAGTTTGCTGATCAGCAGTTAATTTACTGGGCAAATATGAATATGCAAATTCCAGTTTAAATGACTAAACTTTTAGTCTGCAGCTCTTGCTTTTCTCAGGTTATTCTATTACTTTACCTTTAATATTTTATGCTAACTTTTTTGTTGCATGGCATCTGCCATGTTTAGAATTTCCTATCTTTTTTATTTTGTTCTGTTTTTTTTTCTGTTGTTGTTGTTGTTAACCTCAAATGTAGTAAGTAGCTTTGGGAGGAGAGCCAATCAGTTCTTCCCCACCTATCCTTTTTGGTGCACAAGTTCTGGTAAATTATCCTTGTGTGCTGTCCCCACCTCTGCCCTGTGCTTTTTATAATGTGGGTGCTTTTGCAGATTTTGTACTGATTTTTTTGTGGTTCACACTTTGGAGAGTTTAGTATCCCTTTTGTCATGCGTGGGTCAAGAAATAAGGCCTGTGAACTGCAACCAGGTCATGATGTGTCAAGTTCAGTTAATAGCAAGCTAAGGTAGAGTTTATGGATAATGGCAAGCAGATGCTCCAGTAATTTGTCAGACATTGCAGGGATATTATATAGACAAATAATTCTAGCGTGTGGGAAGACTACCTCACAGTTTTATTTACATCCCTCTTACCATCAATAGCAGAGGAATTCTTTATGGTTTCCTGCATCAGTGGTGGGATTTGCTAAACCAAGGGAATACATACCGGAGAGTTCCTCAGCTCAGCTTTCCTCTTCAGCCTGTAACAGTGGTGGCGAACCTGTGGCACACGGGCCACAGCTGGCTGTTTGTTACTGAAATCTCTAAGGTTCCCCGTCACACCTACACCAGCCAACCAAAAGCAAAACAATGCAGTGTATTTTAGAAATAAATTGTTTTAAGAGTTGAAAATTAAAAAAATGGAAGTTGAAGGTAAAGCAGCAATTTACAATGTGTTGTCCAGATCTGACTCAAGACAGTCGACTTCCCATTCATTCTCTTTCCATTTATTGCATCGTTCAATGCTTTTTCTTAAGTTGTTAAACATTGTATTCTTTAAGTCTCTATAATCACTTCCATTTTGCAATCAACAACTATATAAATACATATTTTTTGCAACTTCAGTTGCCTTCAAACCCGCACTGGAGAATATTAACTGACATTAATACTCGTCTTTTAAAGAAGGGGAAATGGATTTTATTACTTCTCTATTTTGGAAAGAATTAAGAGGGATCTGAAGAAAGGGTATTTGTGGCTTTGTTCCATGTTGTGTTATTTTTTCAAGTTTGAATTACACTGTATTTCCTTTGGGCCAGTAGGCAAATAAACACTTGTCATTAAAGCTGTCCCAAATGGAAAATGACTGCCAGCGTGTTGCACACACATAAGACAGTTGCATCTTACTACAAGGTCTTTGGTTTGTTTGGTTTGACTATAACTTACTGTCTTGCTATGGTCATATCTTTAGTCTCTGTGATGTATTTAATATATGTGGGGGGCATGATTCCCCTTTTCTTGCCTCTTTAATGAGAAAACTGATGAATTAATACTCTTCTGACATCTTAGAAGAGTATTAACTAGCCACTGCAGTAAAAAACAAGAACGCATTATGTTTGCATCATATATTGCAGAGTATTGCTCCTTGCAAAGAAAGAGCTCCTTTACAGATTTCCCCGTGTGAGCATCAGTTTATCATCATATATTCCTTTAAGCTACAATTATTCAGACTTAATATTTGAAGAAATGACTTAGTCGGAAGTGACTTTGTAAAAGCCATAGTTTGATGTCTAGGTTATAATTGGGTAATACTTGGTCTTGGAAAAATCTGCAGTCGTGTCGCACACAGAAATTTTAAAAAGGGAGGGAATTTGTGCTAGCAATGGGCATTTCTATTATTTGTGTGATTTTTCCAGAAATATTTTAAAAATGGAACAAACTATAAAAGAACTGAGCACTAAGGCATCTTAGTCTCTTAGGTGCACCTAATAACTTACAGGCTGTTGTGCACGAGCCTCAGCTAACTTGCAGGAGAACAACCTGTGTTGCTAATTACACATTTACTCTTCATTTTCTGTGTTCTTAATTTTTTTTCACGTTTGAGTATATGAAAATACTATTTTTGACACTTTATCAAATCTCAGGGATTAAAGAAAGTTTTACTGACTATCACAGCAGGTAAATCTCTTAAATTCAAACTTAGGTTTCCTATCTTTTGTTTCTATATCTAAGAAAATAAAGAATGCCTGCCAGAGAAATATAGAAAAAAGTTTCAGATACAATTTAAAAGTACAAGATTGTAAATAAACCAATTTTACAAACTAAAATATTGTGTCTTTCCTTGATTTTTATTCCAAATTATTTCCCCTTGTAAGTTTGGGGAGTTTTAAATATTAAAATTATTTCTTCATGTGTAAAGCTGAACTGTGCTATTTTTAAAACCATAGTTCATAAATAGGCCAGATCAATTAAGTAAAAGTTTACTGAATCATTTTCCAGTGTTTGGGAGGGGAATTTGATTAATTATAAGCAATTTAGTCCTTCAGTAGATGGCTATATAAGTAAATTTGGGCTGACTTTGCATCCTTGTGTTTTAACTGGGAATGCCTACTGCATACAACATAATTCTTGAGAGTTTTGGCTTAGGCTTAAAGTAAAAATAAAATTTAAAAAATAGAATCTTGTTCACATCTATTACATATGGCACTCACTTATTAAACATGTATTACACTATTACATGCCAAATTGTGGGCAAAAGGATTATATAAAAGTGAATAAAATGTAAATAATTACATGAACAAAGTCATAATTGCAAGTATAAATACCATGAAGGGAGAGTGTGTGTTGAGTGTATACGAGGCACAGGACCTTGTGTTGTCCTATACAGAGCCTGGGTGACTTTTCTAGGAAAGGATAGCTTCAGAGCTGATGAAGGAAGACCAGGGCAGCTAGAGGCAGATAGGTGAGCAAGGAAAGGTTTGTATAGCTGAGATGGAGCAGGAAGAGGTCCATATGAAATCAGCTGGTAGGTGGTTGGGTACCGGACAGTGTCAAGCTCTGCAGGTGTTTAAAGACTTTTGGTCTGACCTAGTGTGCAAGGCAGAAACCAAAGAGTTTTATGGAGAAAAAATTCCATAAGCAAATTTGCCTTCCTTGGTTGTGTTTAGTAGAATGTAGCAAAAAGGGTAAAAATAAATGAAGGAAAGTCATTAGAAAGCCAGTAGCAAAACATGAGCCATAGAGGGAATATTCAGAGGTAGATTTGAGGGGTTTTTAGGGTGCAAAAATATTAAAGTAGAGATGAAGAGGTGTTTGTGTGTAAAATGTGTGAAACAGCTTTAGCTATTTCTGATTTGCTACATTGCCCCAAAGGGAATTACAGTATCTGACACATTGAAGGGAAGAGACTTGCTATGTTTAATTAGAAAGACAAGATTAGAAAACACTAAACAATTTCAAAACAAAGATAAAATTTTGAGTAGTAAAGGTTATTTGCATTGTTGTAGATATGTTTCAAGTAGATGTGTCTCCGCCAGGTCTCAACTATATAGTTAGATAAGAATATTCTAGAAACAAATTGCTCTAATGGAAACACTTGTGTATTATTCACTCATCTGGTCTTTTAATATTGGTTGACCATCTATGCATATAACTTTTTGCATGATGCCAGACAGAGTGAGGAATGGAGAGTGATTATTCTGGAAAGTTAAACCTTGCCATTCTATGTGTCCTCAAATGAAATGTGTTGACAATATACTTCATATGTGCCGTCTGTGTCTAACATGCCACTCTGAGCCACTGCCCCATCCTATGAGATTCATCTCAGAGCACTTGTCATTCTCTTACACAAAGTCCTCTTAATTTCAACATTAAGCAAGTGGCTCTTACTAAAATGAGCATCGACCATCTTTTTCTCTGCCCTTGGAAGAATTTCTGCTAACTGCAAGGTGTGTGGAACTGAGTCTGAAAGGACAGTACCATCTTCTCTGCTCCTTTTCCTATCCTTCTCTCTTGGCACACGCTGGAAAAATAAATGCACATGTTATCTAGACATGACATTTCAGTCTGGAAAGTTGATGTTGAGATAATCACAAAAATGTCAACTACCAATTGTGAAAAGATCCAAAACAGAAGTGTAGGTATTTTGAGAAATGACAAAATACCTGGAGGAAGGTAAAGGCTCCTGTGCTAGAGGTATTTTAAAGCATCTGATGTTCTGAAAGGTGTGGAAATGCAAAGGCCTGGGAAAGGCTAATCCAGCATGTGACAGAGCCCTGTATGCCTGAGTTTGGTGACACAGGAGTAGATGGTACAAGATGAGGAGAGAAAGCAAGGTCAGTTGACAGACAGAGTGAGGAGCTGGGAATTTGTTCTGATTATACCAGAAAATCTTTGACACGTTTAAGGTAGATTATGAAACAATCATTCTGATTTCATGTGGAGAAACGCTAGAGATGAACCAAATGAAAGTGTTGATATCTCATGAGATTGAGGGATGCTAACTATTTGGGAGAAAGCAGGGAGAGAGAATCTGATAGGAATAATAATGGTCCCAGACAACAGGTTCTTCTTAGGCGGTGAGATGACATGGAGTAAGACCATGCAGGATGTGTTTCTTCAATGTGACCATATAAATACCAAGGAATCTTGAAGGATTTTACCTGACAGACTTAGGAAGACTATTTGCCTGTAAAACCTGAGGTTCACAGATGTGTTTTTATTAAGATATATTAAGATACAAAGAACATTTTAAATCATTTAAGAAAAACACTAAAAAAGCATTGATGCTCCGTGCTTGCAAGGGTGTGCGGGACCACAGAACCCTCATTGCAGGGCCTTCCAGAGAGCACCTTGGCAGTCTGCGCTCAGAGCATTAGAGGTGTTCCTTTGCCTTCACCTGGTAATTCTA